CGCAAATAAGCACGCTGGCTGAAACGTCCAACTAAGGTTAACAAAAAAAATTAAGCTCACAAGCATACGCTACGCAATTACATGGGAAATTCGGCGGGTAAAAAAAAACTTGCTGCTCAGGAAGGAAAAGGAAAAGCGGGAAGTATTCACTCTTGCCAGTAACACAAAAAAATCTAGGAAAACCATTGGGGCCCTAGTAAATCGGCCAGAATCCGAGTGAAACACTGAGATGCTGTGTTATTTAAAACATTAATTTATGATGAGAGGGCTATTACACTCTTTCAAATAGCTTATTCGTTCAGAGAGTGTTCGTCGACGCCCTAGAAACAAGTCTTCAAATTGGAGCTGAAATGGCGCGAACACCGTTCCATTTAACCACATCGTATAGTTCTAACCCCTATGCGCATTCGCAAGTACCTGCCACTAACGAACCAAAGTACCACATTTGGGTGAAATTCTTGCATTGCACACACACTAAAGGCCCAAAGGCCCAACGGCACACTGCACTCCCTACACCCCAGTAGGGAGAAATTGGTCAAAATTCCCCGCTAAAACTCGCCTGTGAGGTTAATTGAGGGTCTAATCACCCGATGTGGATGATGGCGCCTGAACTGAATCACTCACCACATTCGCTTAAACTTTGTATATTGGGCCCTGGGTTTCAAATTACGTAGGCCTGAAGGCCTATTGCACTATTCCAACCCAGTAGGGTGAGATGGGTCCAAAAATAATTTTCGCTGACACTTACGCCTATGAGGTTAGTCGATGAGCCCGACGCGATATGATCGCTGGCGCCAATTTGGCGGCCATTTGGCGGCTAAGATGCGCCCAACGGATGTCGCACTAACTTGCTGTAAACTTCTGTACAGTGGGTCTATAAGGTCCCGATTACGAATATGCCATTCGTTTTGTTTGTTCCGGCTATTCGGCGCCTATTCCTGTCTCTGTCTGCGCCCGCCCTCGCCCTAAATTAATCTCTGCAATAAGATCTAACGCCTTTGAATAGTGGAGGGCTCCAAAGTGTAGTAGGGCACTCCCCCCTGTGGTCTAGATATGACTCCCACTTTGCCACACGGTGCGTGGTTCACCCACGTCCGGAGTTTCACCCCTCCCCTAACCGATAGCTTAGACTCTAGGCGCCATTGGTGAGAAAGCCTGCAAATTCAGAATGATGATGTGTTAACAACACGAATGTAGAAACTCCAGGTCTATTCGGATCAGGGCCCAAATAACCTCTCTATTCAGACGTTTACAGAGCGAAATTTTGGATAATCAGTTATGGCCAGCTGGGCACCAAATGCGCCAATTTGGCGCCAGGCAATAAAAGGATGTCATATTCGTGATCAGGACCTCAATCAACCCCCATAAGGAAAAGTTCCGCAAAATTATTTCTTGACCCATCCTCGGCTCCACTCCGATAATGCAATTGCCGGCCGAAGATTAATTATCTAATTCAGCCGACTTCTTCCGTCTTCTAAATCCGCCTCAGGATACCGGAGAGTTGAAGTTACAAATTCTTTTGGCCCACTTGAACTGTTAGAAGGTTGTAGCCCTCGTCCCTATGAAACGCGAGTCCGCCGCCCTAAGATTGGAATTAAGCGCAGAGGGTGGGCCAAGACCATAACGCAGCAGAGTCAGTCTCCTCCCGAAGTTGTCTGGGCGTCAGCTCGGGTTTGGCGTAACTCCCTGTTTGTTCCATAATAGGACGCGCTAACGGTGCTGGGGCACCAAGAATTGACCGTCAATCCATTTTGAACTTTCAAACCCCGTCGCTGCCAATGCCAACGGCAAGCTGCGGCACGAATTCAACAGGGTCAGATTGCTGGATTCCCCAAAAAAAGCCGCGAGATCTACACCCTCGATGAATAAGTTCTGCATTCCTCCATTTGCACGGACCTCTGAAGTAGTATGTGGAAGGGTGTAGATAAGTGGAATTTTGCGTTTCCAAGACCAGTATTGAAAATTGCCTAAAAGCTCACCATGCAAGAAAGGTAGCGTGGTCTCTCAAATTCGTCCAAGTTAACCGTCGATGCTGCTGAAAACATTTTCGTGCTGTTTTCGCCACTCAAAAGCATATCTTCTCTAATCGAAGGTCCCTGAAAAGGGAAAGGACAGTTTTGGAGCGGAAGTGCGCTCGCGATATCTGTTAAGCTTCTCTCAACATCCTAAGTTGAGTAGATACTGTCCCGTCAGGATCTATCAACGATGATTCTCAGCGCTCAAAGAAGTCCGCCCCCTTTTAAACACCGCATTGTTCAAGTGTATTATTGTTGGCCAAGCCGAGCTTATGACATGGTTTAGAAAACATCCTCAAAACGTATGAACAAGGTGGAAATACGGCCATCGTCATCATCGATTGTCTGACGATAGCCATGATGCATCCCGACCTCACTCGAAAGTTGCAGAATCGATCGAAGGTGCGTATATCATGACCAGTGTGACACAGCGCCCTTGTGAACGCATTTTCGTAACTTCTTACAAACCTAAAGGAACGAAACTTCATTTGCCCAGGCTTTTCCTTCACGGTTTCGTTTTTACGACATGGGTCTTTAAGCTAAATGTTCTTCTCAGCGAGGTATGAGGGAATTAAGGAGTCGAGCGGATCAGCAGAGGAGGTTGACTGCTAGCGCGTTGCGCACATTGGCAGTTCTTCTTACGGATCAGTTTCATCTTTAACTGAGCCTTTCAAATACGCCTTCTCAATGAAGTGGAGAATGGGGCGACTGAACCGCGAACCCCAAATTTAAAATATCCCTGGTTTTTCCGATAATTTTCATCTTCTGGCTGCGCTATTAACTCATTACCTATGCGCACTCCTACGATACCACTGCTGTTACTAGCTGACCCGCCCGCAAGAAGTAGGACACCCATTACCTAAGCCCGACAGGTTACGACCCCTCCTGTCCATTCCTCAACCGATTACTTTCACCCTGGTGCGTGGCACGGTAATCTGTCCGTCATTGTCGACCAACTGTTCGAAACTTAGTTCGTACTTCACACAAATCGGATACGCGAATGGTGTGAGGGGGGAGGCCATGAAACCGCAAAAATTACATTTCCCTACACTTCCCATGTATTTTACCCATATTTCAACTGCCCCATTTCCAGGGAGGGGAGGGGGTATATGCGCGCGCTGAAACGGCAAATTTTCTCACGCGCCGCTCCCCACTCATCACATGCAACTTCTTACAACCGAAGTAAGTACGACCCCCCCTCTCCAAACTCGTCAAAATACGACCCCCCGTTGCTACTTGTAGCAACATAGGGTTGCCCTTGGCACGCGGTGCCTGTCTACTAGAAAAACGGAGAGAGCTAGGCCGCGCGGTAATCACAACCATCGTAGCTAAAAAGCTATTCAGAATAAACGCTCGTCTCTGGCTGAATCCGATTTCACTGTTCAAGCTTGCTTAGAGCTTTTTTTCCGAACCAATCAAGCCACCTTTACACCGAAAGCAATGAAAAAATGGGATAATGCATCTGATCTAATACGTACATCTCCGCCCTTGCACCCTCTTCGAATATTTGTTTACTAATTTCCTGAAATGAGACTGCAGGGCAGTTTCGACTATTGCTCGATGCTTTCAGAACAGAACAGCTTAGCATTTATTTATTTATTGTCTGATACAACCAGTACAATGGGATCTTCGACATATTCCTACTCTCAAACAAGGAATGATTACACATTCAATATGCAACACATGACACCACTGCGCACATGAACGCATTACCTATGCTTCATAGATCCATCTAAGGTGATGTGATGAGCAATGCGTTCTTATTTGCCGGATAGACTCATAAATACATGATATGTTGGCCTATCTGATAGAGCCAATTTCGAAGACTCATTCGTCGGAAGGACCAATACACAGTAAAACATCACTACCCTCTCGTGAACGATTTCCGTCACATTACACAATTCCTGGGATGAAGCGCAAAGGTACAAAAACCTCACATCACCTTCCAATACGGAAATCTAGATAAATAAAATATTAATAGTATGTATTATATTATATATCTGAATATCTATAAGGAAGTGTATATATTGGACAAACAATTCGTGGTCCTATGCAGGGAACACTCAGTAACATAGATACTCTCTCTTTTACAGGATCTAGCTTAATCATGTGTGGTAAAGAATTTTTTTTATGTATAGAAAACCAGGGCGATGTGTGCGACAATTGTGGACAGTAATAATGATTACGCGTTCGCCGGTATTGAATTGGTAGAAGGAATAACTGAATGGCTGCGAGACGGAGATTCGAACAGGATGACCCAATTGAGCGGGAAACATTTCAATGTGCTGTCGCGATTTTTTTTGATAGGCGGTAGAGCGGCGTGACTACAGCTGGCGGGTTCTAGATCGCGTCGGTCATGTTCGGGTGCATAATTCGACGGTCTGGCAAGGGGAAAAAACATGAACATGAAAAATATTGGAGAGTATAGGTAGTGCTAAGTAATGATATGGAATAGCAACCAAAGACGACCTGGATATGTTAATGGTCTGTAAATACGTTGATGGTTGGGGAGTGGGCTTCTTGTTGAACATCCCAGTTTATGACGTGCTTTTCAATAGGAAACATGAGATGCTTTCAGAAAAGAGAAGTACAAAACCAAAAAGTACCAATGGTCGTCCAACACGAGACAGATAAACAAAGGGCGGCGGATTCACTGTACCGTAACCTGCGTTTAGCACTTGGTGCGCGTTTGTATGAGGCATTGCGCGCCCTATAAGACGAGACAAGTATCAGGCGGGGAGCGTGGTTTCAACCAATAAGTGAGAGGGACTAAGCTTCGAGGAAGGAGGTTAAGAAAGAAGATGCTATATGGTGTGAGTAGGCGAGTTGAGCAAGAAACACATAAGAAGACGCCTGAGATCACAGGCCCTGCGGGTTGGATAAGTGATTACGGTATTGTTGTTATGCATGGGCGCGTATTTTGCTTTTGGGGCACCTTGTCGCGGTTGTTTTTACTAAATTCGGCGTACATTACATTCGCTTAAATTACTTAACATTTACAGGTAGATTCTATACAGTTCGTTTGAGAATGGGGTGACTAACGGATACTTTTGCTGTCTGGACTCTATTAGGTTAGTGGCCTTTGGTGAAGGGGATACGGGCGTTGGGTGAATGCGCTCGTGTAGTCAAGGGATTGAAATGTGGATTAGGCACAAGGTGCAGTGGTACTTGCTACTTGAGGCTCTCGGTCGCCTAGTCTGTAGGCGGTATCAAAACCAGTGAGTGAGGGGGCAGCGACCGGATAAAAGACAAATGGGCGCTACATCAAAAATGATAGTCGTATTCGTAATCAGGGCATGATGACCCTATGAACAAATTCCGGAGTAAAATATAATATGTGGGATTTGGGGCAGCCCCAGTGCGGAATGGTACGAAAATTGTTTCGTTTGTCAAGTCATCTGCGGCGATCGGACATAGTCGTGGATAAGTTTGTAATGATGGGTAAACCTTTCCCGTAGTTTAAACGTGGAGTGCGCATACATAATATGATGATTAGTCTTCGCAATTAACATAAATTATGAGAACTCGAAAGCGAGGACGTAAATCTGAGTGTTTTCCAGGTGTTGCTATGATGGCTTTGCTCGTGAGGGCGGTGGGTGCTAGGGTAGTGGAAACCGCTTTCCTTATACTCTTCTCAGGATGCTACTTGCTGTATTTGTGAGCATTTGTCACTCTTTTCTCAGCGCTTTGTGACCTTTTCCAATCTTGGTGGATATGGGCGTGACTAACCTTGCGTCGCTAGAATAGGGTCGCAATGGCTTTGGCTGCAGCGCGCCCAAATGGCTAACACGATACGGTAACGTGAATACCGCGGGCCTTTGTATCTTTCTTGGTCGCTCCAACTCACCTCCCGGTTGTAATAAAGGATCTGACCGACGGGTGACACAACACAGGCAGTTCCAGCACCAAACATCTCCAGCAACTAAAAATCAAGAATCACTGATGTAGAGACAGGAAACGTCCCGAGATACAACACCGATATGATGCACTCACCCGACCCTCATCAAGGGCTTTTTTGACATCATGCATTGTGAATGACTTTTCCGAAACCTTAAATTCTCCCCATTCTCGCGCCAATTCGAGAAGCGAGTCACGAGTCACACCGGGTAGGATGAGACCTCTTTCAAGTGGCGGCGTTATCAGCTCAATCTCTGGAATGTGTCACCATTACTGAATGTCTGTTTCACATGGCCCACACTTCCACTATGAAAAGTGGACCACCGATTGAGACCATTCAGTCTTTTCCATCACCTATCGTTCCTGTAGCGAACAACTACTGGCACTCAGCACATAGCAGTTTGCTACGTCACTGTTGTTATCGCCAGCAACGTTGCAATCTCCGGTGACCTCGCCATTATCAACATTTTGAAATGACTTTTTCATGTTACTAGTTCAAAAAGTACTCAACGCTTCAACATACTCGCCTCCTTGCTCATTCTTCCAGTAGACAAAGATGTTCATCGTTCCCACTTCCGTCACTTCCTCATCTTCACCGTGCAACCAGAGGACCTGCTGGCAGTTTCGCGCCGCAGCTTCCTTTCCTACCCAAATTGTCGGCGCGTAGTTGCTAAAACAGAGCGCCAATCACCTTTCGCAATAGTGGAATGTCACAGAAACCTACCATCCCATTTTGAAGGCTCCTACACCTCCGGGGAAGGCTCTGACGTATTGAGGGTCAGCAAGAAGACGAACAGGTTGAAATCCAGTTGAATAATATTGCCCAACCGGTCCCGTCAAGACGAATAGCTTAGCTTCCAGAGGAAAACCAACTCCCAGAGTAGGCTGAAAAATCGCCGATGGAAAAAGTGTTTTCCTTGCTCCAGAACGATTAAAAGCAGAAAACAATCAGACTAAATAGAGTAGATAACTCACATCGGTGCCGATGAGAGTAGGTCTAATGTACAACGAAGACGTTGATGAGTATGGGACCCACTCTTGATCTAGAGCGATCTGATCGCAAATGACCTTGATTAGTTCTTCAGTTTCGAAATCCTGAAACAGATTTGTTGTGATAGGAAGTGAGTTTTGAAGAGATGAGAGGTAGTATACCAGTTTTTTAGTTGAAACACTAATCGGTTCATGTGAGTACGACATTATCTCTGATGTATTTCCCGTAATGGCATTACTTTGTCAGCAACACGAAGGAAAAAGCACCAGTTAGTTGGCATGAGTGTAGCAAGGAAACCCTACTGCATCTTAATATAGAAAACAAAGTGGAATAGCGAAAAGGATGAACATACTGGAAGTGCAGCTCGATGAGCAGTTCGTCGCATACGTGCCATGTTTTTATCGGGACGGAATAGTCGAATCTTATTATCCACTCCTCTGTATGCTTTCATACCTTCGAACAACTCGGTGGCATAATGAAGAACCTCAAAGGTCATTTCTTAGAAAGAGAAATAGCCACTTACAATGTGTATTTTTATGACTGTTTCTAACTGTTTTCTTAGTGAGCGACACAACTATTGAAAGCTTCCTTATGGAAGTAGAAGACATCGTTCCTCATAGTCGGCTGGTAAGTGGTGAGTGCAAATGACGCTTTCGTAACAACGCAACAGCAATAGGTACTATTAAAATTTAACATATATTGAGTCAACTGCTTGAATCACAGTTAGAAAAGAAACAACAGCGGGACAACTTCGCGGGAACTATCGTGCACTGTTTGCTGTTTTCATTTCGCTTTTCGTTTAAGAGCTGCACGAACCAGTGAGGAGTGAGAGAACAAAAACAAAATCTGACAGAGTGAAGACCATTATTCAACCAAAAATGGAACGGCAGTGAAAATCAACGAGAAAAGCTCAATCCAATTACGTGAATTAGGGCATCTCATGAGAATCGAGATTTCGTGGTCCCAGAAAAAACCGTGATTACAAAACATCAAGATGTACGTTTTGATACTGGGCTTAAAAGGTTCCCATTGTGCTCGCAAAAAATTTAAGTTTCCTCAACAAAACTTTCTTATCCACCCGATATGGACCACTGCATACTTACGAGAATACCTCAAGTACATGTGCATGAGAAATTTCTTCGGTGACGTTATTTATAGCATACCAAATATAACATAATGACAACAGCCTGACAGCCATGCGCGTCACAGCGTTGTCATTTTTTTGCGCAGGCACCTTTTTGAGTTTTGCATTAAGTTCGGAGAAAATATATCAATATAGCTCTAAACTACATGGTCGCTTGTGTAATCGAACGAACATTAATTTAATATAGATTTTCCAAACCTCTCAGAATTTTCAAATCAATTCACTGTCAGTTGCCCCTTTGGGGTCATAAACTTTCATACAAATTATAGTAGAATATGCAAAACACTTTGAAGATAAATAACTTTACGCCATTTGCAGCGAAAGTTGATAGTGTTTGCTTCTTCATTGCATTGACCGTTCTTTTGGGCAAAATTCTACTGTTACTTGTCTCATTCACACGTTGATTCACCTCACGCATTCATCATCGCTGAGATGTCGGTCAAAACCTACGATTGCATCGCTCTAGGCAGAGCGACTGCACCGCGCGATGCAATCGCTCTAGGCAGAGCAATTGCATCGCGATGGACAAGCGATGGAGCGATCGCGTCGCTCCGGCACTGGTCCATCGCGATGCGATTGCCGAGTCTGACCGACATCTGAATGCTCCGTGGGATTCAGCTTTTGCGCAGTTAACACCCAAAATAATGAGCCGACTTGAGGTGAAACAGGGGCACTTGCAAAGTCGCTCCTGTCTCACGTGTCGCCAACGTGTTAATACTCCTCAGATACTCAACGAAGTTGAGGAAAGGTGCACAGCTCTTTAGCTCAGGACCAAAGGGATAACATTTTGCCGAAATCTCAAAGCTTGCAGTTCAATGGTAGAATGTCACAGAAATGACGGTCGTTATTTTGTAGAATAATCATCCTTGATTCTTGTTTGAGTTTAGGCATGAATTTTGAATTTTCATTGTATGAAAGATTTTTCCCCAGCCTGATAACGAAGACAAAGGGGATGCGAAAAATGGTCCAGAAGCATGAGAAAAGGGCTTTAACATCTCACGCACACAAAACGTTATAGTTTCACCACGACCTACAAATGTGCAGAGAAACATCCTTCAAGAGAGAATGGTTCAAGAAATGATTCCATTACGACATGCCCAGGATTACTGTTGCTCAGCCGTTCAATTCAATTTATCCTACAAATCGAAAAGCAGCGTATCGCACATACGAGTACACTGCAATGCAGCAGTTAACTGCTTTGTGAACTGCTTAAACCAAATTTTGCTCGAAGTGCTCTTTAAAGCCAAGGAATGATAGCGGCTTCATTGGTGTGCTTTATTCTTGAATTTTTTTTTAGATTTTTTTGCAAGATTTCTTACTGTATTTTACGAGAAAAAATTGTTAACCAGAACCAGTTCAAATTGTGCCGAAGTGATGTTTTTTGTTTGCTCAAAATCCTTAAACGAAGTTCTATAGAAAAAGAATTCTGAGGACAAAGGTGTTCCGGGGTGGGTGAATAATTTTTCCTCCCCGAGACTAGCCATAGGGGCAAAAACAGGCTAGTAATAACATGGAAAACAAGAAGAAAAAGAGAAAACGGAGAAATAGAAGTCTTGGTTTTCATAAGTAAGCCAGTCTATGGCTTCGATATGTTTTGACACAGACACTACACTATATGACATGTTCTCTATTGTTAGCACCAAATCTTACGTGAATTGCGATCGTGCCTCAAAGTGTTTTACAGAATGGCTGAGCTTGCAATGTTTCCTATGGCAATGGTGGTGAAAAGGAAACAAACACTAAAAGCTACCATATGAAGCAACGATACCTTTGAACCTGGATGAATACTGAGATTCCTTAGTGGTGTGATCTGAGGATGTGTCCAGCCGTCACGTTCACTCCAGTCGGCAAACGACATATGGTCGGCATAATGATGACCAAATTTCAGTACATCATTCGGATCGGGTTTTGGACGTAGCTCGCTTCCAGTTGCCGGGGTTACCACCAAGTCCTGATGCTGAAACAGGCAAAAACATCTGAATGATCGGCTCGCAATTAATCTTGATATAGGGAAACTCAAAAAGTCATGTGGGTTTTCCAGTTAAATACTTCGTCCGGTTATATTTTGTTTTCATCGCATTCCTTGAAGCCTAGGGTTGGCCTAATTTGCTCTGAGGTTGTTCTGAGGTCAGTTATACTTTCGCAGGTTTAGCAATGCGGTAAAAGCAGAAACTCAAACGACTTAGATGGAAACAAGCCAATCCGACTGGTTATTCATCATACAGTGGTGCAAATGCATTTATCAGCCGCTTTTCTGTTACATCTGTGACCAGGGGACCAATGAAAGATTACCGTGCTTATGCTTCCAGTTCTAGGGCCGTCATCCACAGATGAGGCCACATCAGATTGTCACACGCACAGACAGACAAAAGCCAGCCCACTGCGTCGTTAGTGAATATGTGAGTTGACAGTTACTGCCGATATTGACGCAAAAACGTCGGCGAGGACGAAGGAACAAAACGGAAAGGTCACTTCGAGAAAGACCAAAGAATGGTAAAAGTGAACTGGCACGAAAACAATGCACTTACATAGAATGACTTATGCGGATCACCGGCCGGCTTTAAATTCATCCGTTCACCAACTTCAGGGGCTTGACTACTGGTGGCCATAAATCGTGGCGCAACAATGGCTACACGAGTGCTTCCTTTCAATAGTTTGTTCATTATCTGAAAGAAGCAGTACACTTAAGTCTTAAATAAAATAACAATAAAAACAAAATCAACGCCAAAATACGATGAAAACGCTCGGATCGAAGCAGTTCCGTTGAAATGTGACCATAACCCTTCGGACAGTCGAAGCTCTAAGAAATCGAGTGAGTCTCTAAAGCATTCGGAAAACCGCTTCTTTTCAGAACGAGTGAACGATTATGAAAATGTCGTAAAGATCCTAAAAGATGGCGGTAGGCGATTAGTCGGGGTACATGGACTTCGTCGCGGGTAGCGTGGCGGTATTTCGCAATCTCTCCCGTGAGCATGAGAGATATGAGAAAACGCGAAGAGTGAAAGTTAAGCAAATGAAAAGTTAAAGGAATACGGCAGAGCGCAAACCGAGTGCCACTACGCGCGACCGCGTGGTAGCAGCTGCGGCTGGCGCTCTAGCGGTCGTTTCAATCGGATGGACCGTAGATGAGACGCCACCGAGCGAGCGACACAGCCCGGGTGGAGTGAGAATATCAGCTGACTCCGCCCCCTCCTGTTGCGCTATAGCGGTGACGGCGGTGGCGGCGATGACGATGTGGCTCTTGTCCAGGAACACGCGCTAGTCTGGACCACGCAGCGGGCGCGAACTGAAAGCATCAGCATGACGCAATCTGCACTCACGACAACAGCTAACCCTGCCTGTCATCCCATAATAACGGTCACCCGTGTGACCTCTCATCGACGGCGTAGTCACGTGCCAGAACTAAGCGCACAGAGTCACAGAGGTGCGGTCGGAAAACATCGGGTGCAACAATACGAGGCAGCGTTCAACTAGCAGCAGCAGGAGGTGTAATGCTCATGACGTCACGAGTGATCACCGTCCCTCGTCGCTCAACGCTGACGTCAAAAATCATTGCAACACGAGACAGAAAAATGCACTGTCGCAAAACCACAGACGACCGACGGCTAGTGAACAGTAAATTCGGTACGTGGTGATGACGGCGAAAAACGGCATGGCCTCTAGCGACACGTGGGACAATATTACAACACAACAAGGGTGCCAGGCGCAATAAACAGCTGGCTGAACTGTCAACAATGTTAACAAAAAAATTAAGCTCACGAGAGAAATAGCACGCAATTAATGGGAAAATTCGCGGTAAAAAAAAACTTCTGGCTCAGAGGAAAGGAAAAGCGGGAAAGTATTCACTCTTGCAGTAACCAAAAAAATCTAGAAACCATTGGGGGCCTAGTAACAATCGTGCCAGACGAGTGAAACATCTGAGATGCTTTGTTTATTTAAAACATAATTTATGATGGAGGAGGCTTATTACAATCTTTAAAATAGCTTTTATTCGTCAGAGAGTGTTCGTCGACTGCTAGAAACAATCTTTCAAATTGAGCTGAAATGGCGCGAACACCTTCATTTACATACATGTATACTAAACCCTGCGCATTCGCAAGTACCTGGCCACAACGAACCAAGTAAAAATTGGTGAAATTCTTGCATCACAACACTAAAAGGAAAAAGACCACGGCACTACTGCACTATTACAACCCCAGTAGGGATGAAATGGGTCAAAAAATTTCCCGCTAAAACTCGTCCTGTGAGGGTTATTGAGGGTCCTAATCACGAATGTGAGATGATGGCGCCTGACTGAACATCACCAAATTCGCTGTAAACTTGTATATTGGGGCCCTGGGGTTTCAAATTAGTAGGCCGAAGGGCACTATTGCACTATTACAACCCCAGTAGGGGTGAGATGGGTCAAAAAAATAATTTTCGCTGAAACTTCGGCTATGAGGGTTATCGAGAGCCCTGATCGCGAATATGATCGCTGGCGCCAATTTGGCGCCATTTGGCGCTAGATGGCGCCACCACTGATTCTCACTAAACTTGCTGTAAACTTCTGTACAGGGGTTATATAAGGTCCCGATTACGAATATGACATTCGTTTTTGTTGTTAGCGCTATTCGGCGCCTATTTCCTGCTCGTCTGCGCCCTCGCACTAATTATATCGCAATCAAGACTAAGCCTTTGAATAGTGGAGGGCTCCAAAGTGAGTAGGGCACTCCCCTGTGGTCTAATATACTCCAACTTTTGCCACACGGTGCGTGGTTCACCCACTCCGGAGTTTCACTCCCTTCCCCTAACGATAAGCTTAGACCTAGGCGCCATTGGTGAGAAAGCCTGCAAATCAGAATATATGTGTTAAACAACACGAATGTTAGAAAGCCAGTGTCATATTCGTGATCAGGGCCCCAAATAACCCCTATTCAGAAGTTTACAGCGAATTTGGTGATAATCAGTAGTGGCGCCAGCTGGCACCAAATGGCGCCAATTTGGCGCCAGTGCCAAAAAAGGATGTCATATTCGTGATCAGGACCCTCAATAACCCCCATAGGAAAAGTTTCAGCAAAATTATTTCTTGACCCATCTCGGCCTCCACTAGGGTTGTAATAATGCAATAGTGCCGGCCGAAGATTAATTACTAATCAGGACTTCTTCGTCTTCTCATAGCCCTCAGATACAGGAAGGAGTTTGAAGTGTACAAATTCTTTTGGACACTTGAACTTTTAGAGGTTTAGCCCTCGTTCCCTTGAAACGCGAGTCCCCCGCCTAAATTTGGAATTAAGCGCAAGGGTGGTCCAACCCAAACGCAGAGAGCAGTCTCCCGAAGGTTTGGCTGGGCTGCAGCCTAGGGTTTGGCTTACCCTGTTTGTTCCATATAGGAACGCCTAACGCTGGGGGCACCAAGAATTGACCGCTCAATGCCATTTTTGACTTTCATAACCCCGTCGGCGCCAATGCCAACGGCAGCTGCGGCACGATTTTCACAGGGTCAGATTTGCTGAAATCCCAAAAAAAGCCGTCGAGATCTACACCCTCGATGAAAAGGTTGCATTCCTCCATTTCACGACCTCTGAAGTAGTTTGTGGAAGGGTTAGATAGAGTTGGATTTTGCGTTTCCAAGCAGTATTGAAATTGCTCTAAAAGCCTCCCATGCAGAAAGGTAGGGTCTCTCAAATTTCGTCCAGTAAACGTCGAGGATGCTGAAATTTTCGTGCTGGTTTTTGCCACTTCAAAAGCAATATCTCTCTAATGTCGTAAGGTCCTGAAAAAGGGAAGACAGTTTTGGGAAGCGGAAGGTTTGCGCTTCGCGATGATCTGTTTAGCTTTCTTCTCACATTCCCTAGTTGAGGAGATACTTCCGTCGAGGATCTATCAAGGATGATTCTCAGCCGCTCAAGAAGCCGCTCCCTTTTACACCATTGCAAGTGTAATTGTTGGCAACGCTTGAAATGGTTCTAGAAAACATCCTCAGAACGTAAACAATAGGAAAACGGGCCATCGTCATCATCGAGTTTTGTCTGAGTATAGGCCATGCATCCGACCTCACTCGAAGTTGCAGAATCGATTCGAAGGTGTCGTATGATCATGACCAGTTGACAGAAGCTGCATTGTAGACGCATTTCGTAACTCTTACAACCTAAAGAACAACTTCATTTGCCCAAGGCTTTTCCTTCACGGTTGTCGTTTTTACGACAGGGTCTTTAACAAATGTTATTCTCAGCGAGGTATTGAGGGATAAGGAGCGAGCGATAGGCAGAGGAGGTGCCTTGCAGCGCGTGCGCACATGTGGCAGTCTTCTTTACGGGGATGCAGTTTCATTCTTTGTACTGCCTTCAAATACGCCCTTCTCATGAAGGTGGAGGAATGGGGCGACTGAACCTGCGAAGAAAATTTAATATCATGTTTTTTTTAGATATTTTCATTTTCTGCTGCGCTATACCCTCTTACCTATCTGCACCACGATACCACTGCTGTTACTGACCCCCAAGAGTAGGACAACCCATGACCTAGCCCGACAGGTACGACCCCCCTGTCGAGGATTTCCTCAACCGATATTCACCCTGGTGCGTGGACGTAATCTGTCGGTCATTGGTCGACCAGCCTGTTCGAAAACTTAGTTTCGACCACAAAATCGCGATACGCGAATGGTTTGGGATTACCGGACCTCATACAGAGCCAAAAATTCCATGGGAATGCTGTGTAGTATGGTGCAGCTCCTCCAGCCGCATTTACACGTCGAACACGTGGTCGTGTAGTCCACTAACAGGGCTCGCAGTGATGAATGTACCAGACTTGGGAAGAACCGGCTTGTTCTTACGGTGACATCATCTGAGTGAATTCATAACTACGTAACGGAGTGAATACACACAGGACCAACATTTCACAAAGATTGATGAGCATTTGCTTTCTAGAAGAAACGAACGAATCATCGTTTCCATTAGCCTTTGTACTACGACACTTTTGATTACTGATTGAGTAAACACTATTAATCGCTTCCTTAAACCTGGGTATTTTATGGTAAACTGAAGGATCACCCCGTTTTGTTAAGCACCAAGGTGCTGCGGATTCTTACATCTTATCCCACTCAACGTTTTCTCCACTAGAGCGTACCAAGAGCGACTATCAGAGGGGACCTGGCCTAGGCTGTAATATACAGTGCGCTTCATAACTCTAAGGTCATCCTAAGTTATTGCATTTCCTGAACCAGCAGCTAAAGTACTCCTCTCTACGAAGAACCCCTGTTTCGCAATTTTGGCAAAAGCAGCGTCAGTTCGAATTTTTTTATAATTTTCTTTTCCGTTTTTGCACCGTTTCATAATTATTATATAAGGTCCTCCTGAAAAGAACAATTGCCCAAGATAAATAATTATATTATATTAATGACAGATAAAAACGACGCAATAATCTATGGTCACTCCTTTATTAAGGGCAACACCGTATATATTACGAGTCAGCTGAACATCGATTCACTTCCGTCTTCAAGGGTTGCTTGTATACGCTCTTGCGTAGTTCTTAGCTGGCGCTTATCCGCATGATTCTTCATGACGAAGATGCTCCTGAGATATTCTACTACAGTACGACTAAATTTCAGAATAATCTTTTCAGTTCGTCTATGTTTCAAGAGAAATGCTGCTTCTGGTTGAATGACCTACATGGATGCCTGTGCCGTTCT